GATAGACATTTGTCCAAAGAAGATCTACAGATGGCTAACAGGTACATGAAAAGATGTTTTAGGGCATTAATCATTAGGGAAATGCAAATCAAAACCACAGTGAGATACCACCTTGCACCTGTTAGAATGGCTATTCTCAAAAGGGCTAGAAATAACAAATGTTGGTGAGGATGTGGAGAAAAGGGAACCCTTGTGCACTGTTGGTAGGAATGTAAATTGGTACAACCACTATGGAAAACAATATGGTGTTTTCTCAAAAAAATTAAAACTAGAACTACCATACAATTGAACAATTCCATTTCTCAATATTTTAGGAGGAAAATGAAAATGCTAATTCAGAAAGCTAAATGAACAGGAATGCCTTGGTGGCTCTTTTGGTTAAGTATCTAACTCTTGATTTTGGCTCAGGTCATGATCTCAGTGTGGTGGGACCGAGTTCTGCATTTGGCTCTGTGCTTCGTCTGCTTGTCCCTCTCTCTCTGCTCCTCCCTCTGCGCACTCTTTCTCTCTCTAAAATAAATAAAATCATCAAGACAAATGCACCATGCATTTGTGTACGGTGTTCATTGCAGTATTACTTATAGTAGTCAAGATGTGAAAGCAACCTATGTGCCTATCCACTGATGAATGGATAAAGATGTGTGTGTATGCACACACACACACACACGCACACACACAATGGAGTATTAGCTGAATAAGAGAATGAAATCATCCCATTTGTGGCAATATGGATGGATCTCAAGGGCATTATGCTAAGTGAAATGTTGGAGAAACACCTATACTGTATGATCTATCTTCTATGTAGAATCTGTGCGTTTTTTTTTAAATTGAATTAAAAGCTAGTACTGCATGGTTCTTACAGATAAAACTTTACAGATGAAAAGACAACAGACTTAAACATTTGTGATTTTAGGTTTTGCGAGACTCAATTTCCCAGAACCAGAGTATATAAATAACCTAATCAGAAGATTCAGAGTATACTTTTAACAAAACCAGAAATTCCTAGAGTGGTTTAAGATGAGTTGGCAAACATTTATATAAGGGGACAGATGGTAACTATTTTAGGCCTTGTTGTAATTCAGGGTTATGTAGTCTCTTGGTACCACCTCTGTTTGAATCCCAATTCTGTCGTTTGTTGTGTTCTTTTGATCAAGCCATGTAATCACTGTACCTTGATATTCTCCTCTGTTAATGGAATGAGGCTTGCTTTGAAGGCTAAATGAATGAGCTATTTGCAGTTATGAATGTTTATTAGAACATCATTTGAGGACAGTGTTGGGAGGATCAGCAGCACAGATCTCAGAGCTGCTGACCATGGCAGTAAGGCATGCAGCTCAGACAACCTTGAATCTGATACGTAGGCTGTGAGGAGGGTGGGGTAATGCCCTCGAGTTCTGCTGCTGTCTGTGATGAACAGACGGAGTTCTGTAAGTATATGCAATGAAATAATGGAAAATACTATCATAATGGTCTGACATGATTGGGAACCTCTGAGTTTAAGAAGTTTGTGACTCCCATCTTTTAAAAAAATATTTGTCTTCTCTGCATTTTGCAATATCAAGCTCTTAAGCTAGATGAGACAAAGTTCTAAGTGTCATAGAGAATTATACTCAGTGACTCAGTAAATATAAGCGTGGAACTAACACTTTTCTTTTCCAGTTCTTTGTGTTTGAGTAGCACTTTTAGCAATGTTATTCTCTTTCATGTTAAGATTTTCAAAGCATAGAGTTTACTTATTTATGTAAGAGAGAGTGTATGCATGGGAGAGAGAGAATCTGAAGCAGACACTGCACTGAGCTCAGAGCCTAACGTGGGGCTCGATTCCACAACCCTGGGAGCATGACCTGAGCTGAAATCAAGAGTCAGACGTTTAATCAACTGAGCCACACAGGCATCCCTTTGCTTCTGTATTTTATTTCCCTCACAGTGTTCTTCAAGTTTCTTACAGCAGTTTCCCCATCTCTTCATCCCAGATCCTCATCTGCTACCTCTGACGATTACTCATGCTTTGACATTTCTCTTGCCCACCTGGATTCTTGCCCTGCTAATTGCTCTGACTTCTGGTAACTGCCTTTCCTCCTTCGGTCTTGACAGTCTTCTAGTGACCTCTGTGGCTCCTCACAGGTCTAGCACAGCCTAGATTTTTGTTACTCTGACCTTTAATTTACTGGTAAGGTTTATATGTGTCTGTAAAGTTTTCCATTTAAAAAAAAGTTTTATTTATTTAATCTCTGCATTCCACATGGGGGCTCGAAATCATAACTCCGAGATCAAGCATTTCATGGTTTTCTGACTGAGCCAGCCACGTGCCCTGTAAAGTCTTTCATTTAATTTTATATACTTACTTTTTTTTTTAATAAAGATTTTATTTATTTATTTGACAGACAGAGATCACAAGTAGGCAGAGAGAGAGAGGGAAGCAGGCTCCCTGCTGAGCAGAGAGACCCGATGTGGGCTTGATCCCAGGACCCTGAGACCATGACCTGAGCCGAAGGCAGAGGCTTTAACCCACTGAGCCACCCAGGTGCCCCTATATATTGCTTACTTTTAATAAAATTGTGACAAGTCTTAAAAGTAAGAGGTGGGACACTGAAATTTATATGGTGTTGTTGATCAAAGGAAAAAAAATAAGTTCGGAAGTCATTAAGAGAAATTAGAATAAAAATCAAGGAAGTGAGAGTTATATATAGATTTTCACATTCTCAAATGGCTTTTTTTAAAAAAAGATTTTATTTATTTATTTGGCAGACAGAGATTACAAATAGGAAGAGAGACAGGCAAAGAGAGAGAGGAGGAAGCAGGCTCCCTGGTGAGCAGAGAGCCCGATGCGGGGCTCGATCCCAGGGGTTCAATCCCAGGACCCTGGGATCACGACCTGAGCCGAAGGCAAAGGCTTTAAACCACTGAGCCACCCAGGCACCCCGAATGGCTTGTTTTTTAGAAGATTTTACTTTGTTAATTTGAGAGAGCGTGAGAGAGAGAGAGAGAGCATGAGAGGGGAGAAGGTCAGAGGGAGAATCAGACTCCCTATGGAGCTGGGAGCCTGATGTAGGACTTCATCCCTGGACTCTGGGATCATGACCTCAGCTGAAGGCAGTTGCTTAACCAACCAAGCCACCCAGACGCCCACATTCTCGAATGGCTTAAGAATGGGTAAATGTGGGGCGCCTGGGTGACTCAGTGGGTTAAGCTTCTGCTTTTGGCTCGGGTCATGATCTTGGGGTCCTGGGGTCGAGCCCCTCGTTGGGCTCTCTGCTCAGTGGGGAGCCTGCTTCCCCCCTCTCTCTCTGCCTGCCTCTCTGCCTATTTGTGATCTATCTCTGTCAAATAAATAAAATCTTAAAAAAAAAAGAATAGGTAGATGATAGGCTATTTAATAGTTTTTTTTGTTTGTTTTTTTAGACTCTAGTTTTCCTTTAAATCTTGCTTATTTTTCTGTAACCCTTTAGAAAACCCAGTTGCACTTGGTGGTATGTTGTAGTAACTCTTAATTCTGTTATAATGGTAATATCAAATCCTAATAAAACAGTATCAGATTATGAAATTTTTCATTTTTTTATATTTCACTTTTTAATGATAATAAGCTCTGAATTGACATTATCTCACTTGCATAAAGTATATTAATAGTTACTATTTTAATGAAAATAGGAACGTTCTTAAAATTTGGGGGTAAAAAAGAAACCGAGTTTTGGTATATAGCAATAAAACTTAAAACTTAAAGTCCAACCTTCCTAGAAGAGTCTTTTACAATTTTCTTTATTCTGTTGATATTATGGAGATGCTAGGGTATGTGAGATCAGTTTTCCTCTTAACTCTTAGATGCAGTGGTTACCCTACTGATTCAGAAGATGTTATTCTCCCACCTGGTAAGAGTGGGGAATGGCACAGGCTTTTGTTATACATCTAGTAGCCTCTCATATTTCTATCCTATCTGCCCGCATGAAAGATTGGACTCCTGAGGCAGACTGTGGCTTTTCTTTTGCCCTGTTCCTCCCAACTGTGGAAGAAGCGAACTGTGCAGGGCTGTTACCTGTGCAGTTTTTTCTGGGCCTCTTATCCCTAGAATTGTTCCATAAAATCTTAGTACTATCTTAGGGAGTGTTAGGTCTCCTTTTGATACTCTCCTTTTGATACTCTCCTTTTGATACTCTCCTTTTGATACTCTTTTGATACTCTTTATTGTATAGAAGTAAAATAGATATAAGAAAGACCAATTTGAAGTTTTCCTGTGAGTCCTAAGTTCTCCTTATCTAAAATGTATAAATGAAAAATGATAGTATAAAATCACTCTTACTGGCTTCCTAAATGGTAACCACATCTGTGTCTTATTAGTTATCAATGTTCTTAGCTGAGGTTGTACCAATTCTTGAATCACTACATTTGTTATTAAGGTTTAAAAAATGTAGCCAGTAAACAAACACCTTAAGGTCTATTCTCATGTATTGGGTTTCAGTTTGAAATGATTCAACAACCATTTTTGGAGGGATTTTTCTGTGTAGAACTGTGTTAGACACAGAGCATATAATGGTGAATAACACCATCTCTGTCTCCAAAGATATTACAGTTTGGTAATGGAGATTGAGAAGTGAATGAACAATTGCTCTATAGTATGCTGAACTGGCAAATTACTTGATCTTCCCAAGCTTTAATTTTTCTGATCTATGACATGAGACTCTCATAAAGGTTGTTAAAATTAAATGAGATGGCAGCAGAATATGTGGCAAGACCTACTTTAGAAGCATGAGAGTGACACTGTGACCATTCTTGGGGGGTGTCCCCCCAGGGGATGTCAGAAATTTCTCAGAGAAGTTGCTGATCACTGATGGAGCATAATTCTGAATGAGGTAAGAATGGTTGTCCTTTATTGCTTGGTCTTTCATCTTTAACTGAGCATTAAGCTGCGTTGTTAATATGTCAACATATATAATGTCTCAGGAGCATGACAAGTAATGTTATGCAGTTCCATTTTGTGTTATGTGTTATCCTTAATTTTCTTTCAGAGAATTAAAGATGGTAGCCTAATTGATGCGGTTAAAACCATCTGTGTGGGGGATCATATTGAATCCGTAAATGGAGAAAATATCACTGGGTGGCGTCATTATGATGTTGCAAAAAAATTAAAGGAATTAAAAAAAGGTGAATCTTTTACCTTGAAGTTAATAGAACCTAAGAAGGCATTTGGTAAGTTGGGTGTGGTTGTGTATGAGTATGAAGTGTTCCCTTCTGTGCCTTGTCTTTCTAAGGGTAGTAAGTTCTGAGGTGTGATGCCATGTGATACAGCGTGTCCATTGAGACTATAGAGAACAGCAGCACTACTGACAAGGGGAACAACAATTCAAGGAGGAAAAAGTTGTGTAAAAGGACAATTTCTGAAAGACCTTTGGAGTTACAAAGTCTCACGTCCAGTGACTTTGTGGCTGTTCCAAACTCCAAGAAGGGCACATTATATTACATTTATCTTGCTGAGCAATAAAATTCTTGATTGAGCTCTCTAAGCCATAATAACTGTTGGTTCATGGACCTCAACAGCAAAAACTTCAGTTGCACACAGAATTGGTATTTAAAATAGTTACCTAGTCTGTTTTAAAGGCTTCCCTCAATACCTTTCCTCCACTGGCATTTTGGATTTGGCAGCATCGGATGGTATGAAATTGGTTCCACTTTGGTGACATCTGTACTCGCTTGGTTTTAGCCACGGCAGCTGTGTCCCAACTGTTCAAACCCCAAGGGGCATCTCATCTACAGGAAAATGTGCCAGCTTTTCTCTCACTACCCAGCACTATTTTAATAAGCCAAATGACGGCCTGGTGTTCATCAGTGTTGAAATATCTTTAGCAGAATCATTCTAGGCTGCCCTTACTCATCCACGACCCCACCCAACTTAGGTTCTTTCCTTTGCTCACAGTAGATAAATATTCCTTATAGGTTGTCTCTAATGAATGTTTTTTCAGGGCAGTTAATAAAAATGATAGGAGAAAACAATGGATCTGGGCAATTACATTTTCCCTCCCTTAGCAAGTAAGGGACAGATACTAACCATATGGAAATGTAAATTCTTCTCTGCTTCCAAGGGTTTCTGTGCCATTTAATAGAAATACAGTGTAGATTATATGACTTGGGGCAGAAAGAGTTCCATAGAAGATGTAAGAAAAGAATGCTTTGCACTGAGCTATGTATAGATCTGTTGAATCCCTATATTGCATGCCTGAAGCTAATAGAACACTGTATGTTAACTATACTGGAATTATACTGGAATTAAAATAAGAAAGCAACCCCAAAAAGAAAACACGGGGTGGCAGGGGATCGGGGGAGGGAGAATGCCTTATGCCAGTGCTGTTCCTGGAGGGAATTATTCATTCTAGGAGACAGGACTATAGAAACTGTGATTCTGCATGGAGTGCAACCCAGCTTCTGAGCTCACTTGTCACAGAAGGTGGGCAGCACTCAGGTTTCTGTCTACGCTCCTTTTGAAGTGGGTGTTTTGCTAACCAACTCCCTGATTATTGTATAAACTGATAGGATGTAAGCAGTTTGAGCTATTTTTATTTGATTTAGACTCCTTGTAAATCAGTCATTCTCAATACAACTCAAGGAGTATAATTTCTTTCCACCTTTATTTCTACCGCTTAGTCTATTTTCCAAAGTTAATCTTTTTCTATTTTTTCATATTGTCTGCATCTAAATCTTGTGGTCCCTGTATCTTGATAGAAAGTTGCTGGTATACTTTAACTTGGATGCTTGGTTGATATTAGTCTTGGACGTTACAGAGATCATTGTATTTGGCTATTATTGCTCCATGATTAGATTTTTTTCCTTCAGTATCTGAGACACGTGTAGATGGTTGGGGTGCTGCTCTGCCTTATGTGCCTGACTACTATTAAACCTGCTCTCTGTTGCCCCATAGGAATTCCATGTACACATTTGAGAAGGACACTGTGTAGAATTTTCCTAGTGGGGGTATATTATTTTAGCATCCCAAATCCTGGTGGTGCTGTGGGTTAGGATATGTGGAAATTGATTTTGGAGCAATGATAGGTTTTTATCTTCTGAAGTTCCTCTGACAACTTAACTCAGCCCAACTTAAATCTGCTGGGCCATATGCATTTTCCACTCTGGGTCGGAACTTGACTTTGGGCCATAGCTTGGGGATTTCCCTCTTAGAAGTAGGCCTTGCTGCTCTGCCCATACTTCTGCCTCAGTTTTGCTGATTTTTGTCTTGGGATAAAGGCAATGCTAGTTTGTTTCTCATCCTTTGACTTCATCCCAGTGCTTTGTGCTTTTCTTGGAAGGGAGTATACATTAAAGGTACTTGAGGGATTTAGCTTCCCCCAGTTCTCTTGGTTCTAATCTTATTTTTTTCTGTCTCCTTCCTTCCTGTGTTTTAAGCATTATCATGAATGAACTGATTCAAATTCCTAGTCCTTCATGATTATCTGTCTCTCATTGCCTTGGATTCCTAGAGGAGAAAAGGACCAATGTAGGTGAGGCCGAATGTTCTGGTCTCTGTGATCACACAGGCCATCTAGGCTGAAGTGAAGTCATTTCTAGGATTTTACCAAAAGCTGTTGAAATAGCCATACACTCTAGTAGTTTGACATTTCCTTACCAACTTCCGTAAAGATTTCACCTGGGGAGTCATGTGGACTGTGTCCTAAAATGCAAGTAGTAGTATAGTTGGTTGCTTTGGAATGGTATAACAAGGATGATGAATACAACTTTCAGCTGTGGATAGGGAAATCTTTACAGCCTGCTCCTATTTGCATATTTTTGGTCCACCACCAGTCACATCCCACTTCCAGGAGCCATTATGTGAGCTGAGATTCTTTGAGAGCTATAGAATAAACACTTTCCAGGTTAATGAAAGGGCATTTTTTGGGGGTAGATTATCAAGTAGGTCTCAGAAACAAAGACTGTGTCAGTCATGCCTCAGGAAGGTCAGGAATAAAGGCCATTTCAGGAATGTATGAACCAGGCACCTTTCATGGCCCTGGCCTGATTAACTCCTTCCTGTTATTTCCTATCTTTATATCACTTCACTCAGGATTCAAATTCCTGGGAGAGCTGGGGAAACTGATTAGGTCATGTCCCATCTTGATAGTGGGAAGGCAGGCATGGTTAATAGGGCCACCAAAATCATGCAGAACAGTGAGGGAGAAGTTTCCGTTTGGGTAGGAAAAAAGTAGCAGATGTCTGTTTTGCCATTTCTCCTAAGTTAATATACCTTGTTTAGTGGAGTGTGTTGGTTTTCTCTTGACTTTGAGTCTGAATGTATCCATGCATGATACTGTCAGTCTGGATATATCAGAATGGATCTGGAGGGAGGCAGGGTATTGTCAGCTGGCTTTGGGTGTCTGGTCTTACAGATTTTTTTTTTTTTTTTTTCTGTTTGTGGGTGCTGCGTAAATGGCATTTTGGCAATGGACTCTCTGGAGGTACTGATAGCATTAAGTTTTTAAAAGATTTTATGTAGGGGGGTGGGGTTATGGACATTGAGGAGGGTATGTGCTATGGTGAGTACTGTGAAGTGTGTAAACCTAGCGATTCACAGACCTGTACCCCTGGGGATAAAAATATATTATATGTTTATAAAAAATAAAAAAAATTAAAAAAAAAAAAAGATTTTATGTAATCTCTCCACCCAACATGGAACTTGAACTTACAACTCTGAGATCAAGAGTTACATGTTCTACTGACAGAGCCAGCCAGGCTGCATCAGGCTTTCTTTAAGGCAGAGTAAAAGCCACGTTTTTCTTGGTGCTGGCCACCAGGTTTGGAAAGGACAACAATCCAGATTGGGACTATACTCCTGGGACGGTCTTTCATTTATGTCTCCCCCAAATAAGTTCTTGAGAATCTTCTGTGTTCCATGTGCTCCATTAGGCCCAGTGGATACTAAGAAAGAAGACTAAGCCATAGCTACTGCCTTTTGAGGAGCTCACAGTTTAGCAGAAGGCTGTTATTGACTGAATTGTGCCCTTCTAAAATTCATGTGTTGAAGTCCTAATCTCCACCACCTCAGAATGCGACTGTATTTGGAGATAAGCTCTTTAAGTAGGCATGAAGTTAAAATGAGATCATTAGGGTGGGCCCTGATCCAATGAGACTGATCTAAGAGGAGAAAATTTGGATACACATACACATAGCAGGAGAATGCCATGTGACCATGTAGATCTCTACAGACCAAGGAGAGAGGTCTTAGAAGAAAGCAACCCTGGGGATGACTTGATCTCTAACTTCTCTAGAACAAAGGAAATAGATTTCTTTTGTTTAAGCCATGTGGTCCTTTGTGGCAGCCCTAGGAAACTAACATAGAGGCCATTAGGCTTAAAGAAAAATTACAGTGTAAATTCTTTGACTGTGGCAGTATGAGTTCCCTAATAATCTAGAAGGTATAGATGGAATGTCTTAGCTGTCCTTAGCCTTGGGTAGATGGCAGGAACATACTGATGTTTTCATTGACTAAATATTTGAGGAGTTAGTACATGCTAGTTTTAGAGTATTAGTTGCTGGAATAATAATAGTTTCTTGAACATCTACTGTATTCCATCACCATACTACCTGCCTGGTATATCACATGAATAAGAACTAGTTCCTGCCTTCAAGAAGCTCTTATCTAGTGGGAGGAGATGAATATGAAAAGAAATTCAGGGGCGCCTGGGTGGATCAGTGGGTTAAAGCCTCTGCCTTCAGCTCGGGTCATGATCCCAGGGTCCTGGGATCGAGCCCCACATCGGACCCTCTGCTCAGTGGAGAGTCTGCTTCCTCCTCTTTCTCTGTCTGCCTCTCTGCCTGCTTGTGATCTCTGTCAAATAAATAAATAAAAAATCTTAAAAAAAATTCAATAAAGAGAATTAGTGGTGCTAATATGTACCAGAGGCATAAAAGTCGGCCACATCAAGTCAACCTAAGGAGTTGAGGAAAAGCTTCCAGGAGAAAATATTTGAGCTGGATCTTAAGAAGTGTGGTCAGTGAACAAATTAGGGAAGGTGGTCCCAGGTCGTGGGAGTAGGAATAGAATAAGCAAAGGTGTAGAGGTGTATAGCAGTGTCCTGTGCATGGGAATACCACGTATGTCTGTATGATTGGAATAGAGGTTCTAGGTGATTGTGTGGCAAGAGATGAAGCTCAAGGGTCAGTAGAGACCAAATAATCAAGAGCCTTATATGTGACGATAAAGAGTG